ACTTCACAAGCCCTATTGATCCGAACTGGGGACAACTTCTTCAAGATTTAACCCCTTCATTCTTGGTACGTGAGCTTAACATTCTCCTTTTCTTCAATGTAGCTTTGATCTTCTATTGGTAGATGATCTCCTACGGATAATGTGACGAGGGAGGCATGTGCGCAAGAAGATTTAGATATTTCTCCCCAGCTCGAAACCATTGGTGAGTTTTGTACCGAGAAGCTTGGAATTTTTTTTTGCGTTTGAGTCTGAGGTTGTTGCTTCACGATTCTTAGAGTGACCCCGAACTCCATAGCTCTGGCATTTCTCTTGGTGACCACCCAGCTTGCTGGCTTTGAATCGCCTAGATGTTCATTTATCTTGAAGACAGTCCCGCGCTCCAGCAATTCGTGAGCGGGCTTGTACAACTAGTTTGGTATTCAGTACAGGATTATCCCGCTTTCGCGGTTTTACAGTAAGTAACGAAAGCGCCATGGCTCTCATAAGTAGCAGTTGTGATGTCTCCCTGTTGTCTCACCTACCACAACGAAAGCTACTTTCCATAATCAGTTTTTACACCATGTTCTTTGCTTTTTTTCACTGTTGGATAATATTAGCATTGGGGGAAGCGAAGAAATCATAACTGAGCTAGAGGAGAAGGGATACCGATTTGGCATAAATCGCGCAGTTCCTGAGAACTCGTCCAGAAAGGCTGTCAGGTCCTTACATAGGTGTTCTCCATGATTTTTAAGCTTCATTCCCCCTGGAGAGTCATTTGGCGGCTATAGGTTGGCAATTCAACGCCGCCATCCACAATGTACTGTCGCGGTGTTTGTCCCTGAAACTTGTGCTTTTTTGCATTCAAGTGCTTTTTCAATAATTTCAGTACTCGACGCGTTGTCACAAGCTGTACCGGTGGTAATGTTAACGTCAGTTGTTGTTAATTTTTCTTCGGTCTCTGCATACTACATCGAACCACGTCTTTGTGTGAAGTATAACTGGGAAAGCTTCACAGCAGCTCACTGGGAATGCAACAGTGAGGAATTCGAGCTGTTATTAAGATTATTCGATTTTTAGTCAATCTTAAAGTCATCTTGCTCCAATTAGACAGTATAACTGTACTGCAGGTTCATTGCTCAAACTGACTAAAACACCTACTTACGATGCGTCTTCAATCAAATCTGTAGGAGAACTCTGGGCGCAAATCATTGTTGCTGCTAAGAGCAGGTAATTTTGCACTCGGAGATAACGATGTGGCGCTCAGGCTGCATTCATACTTTGCGTCAGCGACTGAGAAAGTATAGATATTGATCTAGCGTATGCCAGCGTACAGCAAAGTTTGAGCGACTGGGCAAATATAGATGTCGATCAAGCGTTTCAGCGTACGTCAGCATCCAGCAGGAGTGGAGAGTATGGGGAGGTAGGAGGGTAGCAGACAGGTGGATTAGGTGTCGTAAAATTGCGGCGTGTGCAACAGCACCGTACAAGTGCTAGAAGTGGTCTTGATGTACGGTGTCATGCAGCTGTATGCGGCTGCACACGGCGCAATTTCACGAATCCTAATCCAGTAGCCTGCTACCTTTATATTCCTCATATACTCCCTACTGGTGAACGATGGCCTACGCTGGCATACGCAAGAGCTTCATCTATACCTTCTTACAAGGGAGGTCTTTCAGGTTTTCAATGCAGTGTCGACGAAAGTTTGCTGTGCATACTCAACATTAGAGATAGAAAAAAAGCCTAGAAAAATGGTTCAAAATCGCTTTTCCCCAGCAAACTTTTCACCCATTTTTTTTACCTTCCCAGAAATGCATAGCAAAAACGAAACCCATTTTTGTGATCCTTATATGGACCCCT